AATATAAATATATGTATCAAGACTTTGAGATTAGACCACTGAAGAAGCCTGGAAAATTATCTTGGGAGTGTGCTACCTGCAAGCCCCAGTAAAAGGGGGGCGAACAGCGGCCTCTTGATTACTTGGACTGCCAGGGCGAAACAGGTGCAAAACACCAGCACCCTGTCGTCTACAACTATCTATCTACAACTCCACTAGGAAATCTCGGCATTGTGAATAACGCTCGCTGAACTTACCTTTTGTTGGACTCACAGCTGTCCATGGAGGCGCAGGTCGATTCAGGGCAGCTGTCTACCAGCTCCATCTGGTATGCTGGCTGAGACCCTCCCTGCCCGCAGACTGTCTGGCCAGAGTGGCACATGCTCTGGTTATCTCCCACTTGGACTACTGCAATGCACTCTATGTGGGGCTACCTTTGAAGGTGACTTGGAAACTACAACAAATCCAGAATGCAGCAGCTAGACTGGGTACTGGGGGCGGCCGCCGAGACCACATAACACTGGTCCTGAAAGACCTACATTGGCTCCCAGTATGTTTCCGAGCACAATTCAAAGTGTTGGTGTGGACCTTTAAAGCCCTAAATGGCCTCGGCCCAGTATACCTGAAGGAGCGTCTCCACCCCCATCGTTCTGCCCGGACACTGAGGTCCAGCGCCCCTCATTGCGAGAAGCAAAGCTACAGGGAACCAGGCAGAGGGCCTTCTCGGTAGTGGCACCCACCCTGTGGAACGCCCTCCCATCAGATGTCAAAGCGATAAACAACTACCTGACATTCAGAAGACATCTTAAGGCAGCCCTGTTCAGGGAAGTTTTTAATGTGTGACATTTTAGTGTATTTTTGGTCTCTGTGGTAGCCGCCCAAAGTGGCTGGGGAAACCCAGCCAGATGGGCGGAGTAGAAATAAATTGTTGTTGTTGTTGTTGTTGTTGTTGTTGTTGTTGTTGTTGTTGTTGTTGTTGTTGTTATCTAAAAGACTGAGTTAAGCTTTTGAAAAACCTGTTGAAACCAGACATTATAATTTGATTTTAGGCTGGGTAGTTTGCAAGTCTCTGTGGCTTTGTTTAACGTTTTGCATTTTTCTCAGAAGGTTGATCAAGTATGTATAATTATGGTTCTGTGTATATGAATTGCCAGCGTGTTGCATGAGTCGCACTACCCCTTGGCACACATCTGGGCACGGGTATGACCCTGCTCAGACGCAGCTGCCATCGCTGCCAAGAGGTTAGAAGAGGAGGGCGGCTTTCTGGAGCCCCCGAAACGGGTGGGTCTCTGGTCTTGTGCAGATGAGGAGCCGCTTGCCAAGAAGGGCTGGGTGGGCGCAAGAGATGCTTCTGCGGTTGCTGCATCAACAAATCCCACGCGCTGCAGGTGTCTGCTCTGACTTGCTCTTCACCCCGACGAGGCGGGCCGCTCCTCGAGACCCTTTGTGCTGGGCTGCATTCCCCAATTCCCTCAAGCTGTGTTGAGGCTTGCCTCTGTGTGTGTGTGTGTGTGCGTGCAAATTGCAGAAGTGGGATCGGCCAGCTCTTCTGCAAAAGGGAAGTCGGATGCGGTCTTGGCGGTGCAGGGAAGATGAAACACAGACTTCTGCCCAATGGCAGGCTCCTGCAGAGAGAGGAGGAGCAGGGAGAGAGCCTGGCTCGGGGAAGGCTCTTGCATTTTCCAGAAAAGAAAGGCAACACACAAGGTGGAGAACTGAAGAAGGGCCTTCTGGCTCAGGTCAATCCCCATCATCCCTGACCACTGGTCCTGTAACTAGGGATGATGGGAGCTGTAGTCCCAAAACATCTGGAGGGCCGAGTTTGGGGGTGCCTGCTCTGTTGCTTCCAACACACACCCCTGGCTCAGTTTGGTATCAGAGTCAGGAAAACAACTTGAAGTGATGAGATAGAGGGATTGGGGTAGCTTCAGAGGCCAGCATAGCTGGTCATCTGCCAAGGTCCACACTTAAGCAGGAGCCCCCACCACTGATCTCCAGAGCCCTAATTTATGGTTACCAGATTTTTTTCTTTTGAAGCTGAGTACCAACAAGGAGTCAGTAGTGGGGATGGTGAGGCAAAAGACCCTGGGTCCAAGCACTCATGCATATTGTATAAAGGTGCAAAGTCCTTCTTTCGCACCCTGTGAAACATAAATGCTTTTTCAGTTTTTTCAAAAACTGGGCAACTGGGCAAAAACTGGGCAACGGCCAGCCGTGACTCCCGAGCCTCCCCCAATCGGTCAAAACAAAAGGGGAAGGGGGCAGGAGATCTGTACTGCCAGATGTCCCCGGTTCCCCTTCGGCAGTGGTGGCGGCAGCAGCAGCCTCAGCATCCCAGAGCCAGCCTGGTAGCGCAGTTGGCTCTGGCTGGCTTCAGGAGCTGCTTGTTGCCCACTGCCATGGCGCCTGCTATTTTTCCTCTCCGGAAGTCCTCATATGATGTGGTGTGCACAATGCACATGATATGGGGACTTCCAGCGAGGAACAATGGCCGGAGGAAGTGGCAGCGAGCAGCTCCTGAAGCCAACCAGAGCCAACTGTGCTACCAGGCTGGCTCTGGGCTGCTGAGGTTGCCGCTGCCACGTTTTCTGGAGACAGATTTGCAAATCTAGGGACATTCTGGGGACGGAATTTGTCCAGGGACAGATTTGCAAATCCGGGGACTGTTCCCGGGAACCGGGGACGTCTGGTAACCCTACCCTAATTACTGTACCCTGCCCGTACGGGCCAGTCTTGCCAGACTCTAGGGTTGTGCGCCCATCTCACTCAAGAGGCCAGGGGCCAGCGCTGTCCGGAGACACTTCCGGGTCACGTGGCCAGCGTGACATCGCTGCTCTGGCGAGCCAGAGCCGCACACGGAAACGCCGTTTACCTTCCCGCTGGTAAGCGGTCCCTATTTATCTACTTGCACCCGGGGGTGCTTTCGAACTGCTAGGTTGGCAGGCGCTGGGACCGAACGATGGGAGCGCACCCCACCGCAGGGATTCAAACCGCCGACCTTTCGATCGGCAAGCCCTAGGCGCTGAGGCTTTTACCCACAGCGCCACCTGCGACCCTAATTACTAAGAGCTCCAATTCCATCCATGGCTGACCAAACCAAAGGAGAACTACAGGCCTTGTCTGGACTAGAACATCTCATTCTGATCAGGCACTCGTTTCGTAAATTTCCATGAGTGCTGCAAAGTGGCAGCAGAAGGTCAAGAGACTTTCTCAATAAGGAAGATATTTCTGGCTAATTGTCTGCAGATATTTCTGGCCAATTGTTCTGGCCTTCTTGTCTGCAGCAAGGGAGCTGTCTGGGGAGCAAGAACACTCTGCTCACTTTCTAGTCTGTTTCTGCAGCTTTCTAGACTTCTCCCTGTCTGGAAATCCGAATGCAGAAGTGTCTGCTGTGGTGGGCAGATTGCAGAACTGGCTACCGTGGGTGGTTGGCTTGGTTGCCAGCATGGCAGCAGGAGGGGGCTCAGGAAATGATGGCAGAAGTCTGACTGCAGAGGGTGAGGAACAGAAGGAGCAGGGATGCCACACCACCCTTACTCCACCCCCTGCAACTCGAAATGGGGTTGAGGTGGGGGAGGAATTGCTTGCTGCACAGAGAAGTCTCAGATCTCTGGGGACTGTAGCCCTGAGCCAAGCTATAAACTCAGATCACTTTAAAAGATTGGACAAATTCATGGAGGGGCTACAAGCCAGGATGGCCATGTGTTGCCTCCACAGGGACCCTCGTACCTACGAGACCGCCTCTCCTGGCATGTCCCATGGAGGACCCTACGGTCTGTTATAACAACCCTGAAGATCCCGGGCCCCAGTGAGGTCAGACTGGCCTCGACCAAAGCCAGGGCCTTTTCAGTCATGGCCCCAGCCTGGTGGAACACTCTCTCACAAGAGACCAGCGCCCTGAAAGATTTGACATCTTTTTGCAGGGCCTGCAAGACAGAACTGTTCCGCCAGGCCTTTGGCCAGCGTTCAATTTGACTCATTTTCTCTTTGTATAAGAACAAGCACGAAGGAGGTTTCCCAGCTCACTCACAGGTCCTTATAATATCAGTTGATCCTGGAGAGTATTCACCGCTTTCAATTTAACCTGAGAACTGCCATTTGTTTAATTTTAGTGAAGGCATCTAGTTGGCTGCTGTGAGAACAGGATGCTGCACTTGATAGGCCATGGGCCGGATCCAGCAGGATCTTCTTAGGTTCTCAAAGGAACCAGCATCTCTTCCTCATCCCCCTGTCTTCCTTGCTAAATCTGCTCATCGCTACAGAAAACATGACCATGGACAGACAGGCTCCAGACCAGAGGATTTCCCTTTTAATGATTTCTCCTCTCCTGGAAGGTGGGAAAGTCAGGCCGAAGAACTGTGAAAGTCCTCAGTTGGCAGCTGGCACAGTATATACTTCCATCTGATGTCCTCCAGATGTTTTGGATGGTAACTCTCATTAGTGGGCTATGCTGGCTGGGCTGCAGTAGCCCTTGTGTCTCTTCCCTGAGATCTGTCCAGGGTTCTGAAGGACCTGTCTTGGACTCCACTCTTTTCTCCAGACCAGTGGTCTTTGAGTAGGTACCAGCTCTGCTCCTCCTGCTCTGACCCTCTGCTGCCCTCCCTGATCAGCTTCCTCCAGGCCTCACTTTGGGCTCAGCCTATCTTTCCCCCAAGGTTCAAACGTTGGGTCAGCTCCTTCCACCTGGGCCCACATTTCGTTGCAAACTGCACCCTGTTTTAGAACAAGCGCTGACTAGATCTGGTGGACTGGGACTGGTCCAACCAAATCTGATCATAAACCATTGTAGGCTGCAGCAGCAGCGCTCAGCGCAGTTCCCTGTAGATGACCATTGGCCATGTGCCATGTCTGGTGAAGAAGGCTTCCTGTTTCCTGTCCTAATCTACTGCAAAGGACATCTCACGGGCCAATTTCCTAGTCAGGCTACTTTGCAACTCTAGAGGAAGCCACCCAAAGAGTGATTTCCCAACAAAGTTTGATTTCTTTTTCTTTATTCCCTCTTCAGGTACAAGTATATATATAAAAAATAAGTAGCAAAACAGAGACATGGTTTCTTTAAAAAAAGGAAAAGGTTACATTTATTGAAAACAGTCAACACTTTATACAACATCCTCATAGATAAGCCCCCAACCCAACCCACCCTGCCATCACACAGGCACTGAAGTTTAGCCAATTAATACAGACAGGCAGGGATAAATTTGGACTGAACCACAAACTGGGGAGGTTTAGGAGGCAGGCTTTGGTTGAGAGAGAAGGGAAGTAAATCTCACTGGTGTCAAGGGAGTCTACTCCCAAGTAGGTGCACGCAGATCTTCAGTCTTTATCACGGTCACCCAGGGAGTTTTATGAGAGACAGGGAAGTGTCTGAAGGACTTTTCACGTGGAAGATTATTATTTTTATAAGATGGAGCAAACTTGTTTTTCCGCTGCTCTGGAGGGGGGACCTGAGCCAATGGATTCAAGTTACAAGAAAGGAGATTCCGTCTACACAAGGAAAGACTTTCTGAGTCTAAGAGCCATTCAACAATGGAAGGTGGTGGACTCTCCTTCACTGGAGATTTTTCAGGCTGGCCAATTCTATAGCATTGCAGGGGGTTTGGCAACATGACCTTTGAGGGTCCCTCCCAACTCTACAATGCTATGATGCTGTAACTCAAACCTGGACCTGAGGCATCCATGCTCCCTTCTTGCCCTTGCCCTCAGGCAGCAAAATCTCAGAGGCCAACTCCTTAGGTCCACCCTTAGCTGTGGAATGGTGTCTCCTTAGCCAAGCACCTTGGGGGAATTCAAACACGGTCATCTTCTCTGACCAGAGGCCTTCTGCCTTACTTCTGTGCATGCAGGAAAAACAGGAGGACTGGGGCCACTCTGGGGCCCAACTAGTCCTTGGCAAAGGGTTTGGGGTTTGGGGAGAGGAACAGAAACCCAACACATCCATGCATTCAAACGGATTCTTCAAGCAGACCCTCATTCAAGGTTTTGAAACCTCTGGCCTCCTGCGCTAGACCTGTGCCCCTTCTGCCGCTTCAGCGTCGAAATATATACAAAGGAAAAGCAGAATGAGGCGGCAGGCCCATGCTTGAGTGCCCTAACGTAAGAAGGGAATAAAGAGGGAATACACAAACAATATTTGGGGGGAGGTGGTGGGGCTGCCTGTCTCACACCCTCAAGGAAAGGGAGATACATTTGGTGCCATTTCACAGCAGCTATGTACATGTTTGGGGCCTCCTCATCTGTCGGAAGGATGGGGACGAATTTGCCCATGCGGGAGCAGAAATGGCTACACATGGATGGCATCGATATAAATATACGCATTTGTTTTACGCAAGGGAGAGCAGGGCGAGGGAGCGAAGGCACACGCCCTGCTTTCTGAAGGACAACGAGAAGTCAGCGTCCCTTTGGTTTCTTAAATGCCAAGGCAATTTACTCCGTCTCCATTCTGGGTTATACGTAATCTTTCCCGGAAGAGGGGGCGCACTTGGGGTACGGCCGGCTCGGCGGGTAGGTGGTTTCGCGGCGAGGGCAGGAGCAGCACAGGAAGCCCCCTCCCAGGATGGTCAGGGCCGCAGCTGCCCAGCCGATGAAGAGAGCGGGTCCAAATTCAAATCTGGGAGAAGAGGAGAAGGGGGAAAGAAAACCACCAATTAATCACCACCAACAATAGCTAACCATTAATTGCATTTCCCTTTCCAGTGCATGAAGATTCACCCCACTTCTTAATGGTTTGCCCAACCTACAAGAACTTAAGAGAAACCTTGGTCAAAGGTTTAAATCTTGGTCAAAGGTTTAAATCTCTCAGTTGAGAGATCAAATGGGTATCTTTACACTTCTGGGAAAATGGGTATCTTTACACTTCAGGAAAAGTGGCCTGTTTTAAGGTGGACAATTTTAAGGAGAAAAGTTAGAGGGGTAAGTTAAATTCTTCAGGGGAGCGAACTCTTATCTCACAGAATGCCTGGTTTAAATAATTATTTTAAGTGTATGCTACAACAGCGGCTGGGATATTACTAGCCCAAAGAGGGAAAGACAACAAGATACCAACCAAAGAAGAATGGCAAGAAAAACTGATGTGAGTATGCGGAAATGGCCAAGTTAACTGGAAAACTTAGAGATAAGGGCAATAGAGACTTTTAAAAAGACTGGAAACCATTTATGTTGTATTTACAGAAACATTGTAAGGAAGTGGACTCACTAGCAGGGTTTGAGTAAACACAACCAACCAACAAAATAAAGATAAAAAGCAAGGTGTAAGAATTAGAAAATAATGAAGTATAAGAGGCATTTAGAAAATTGTTAAGGTATAAAAATGATAAGAATATAAAAATATTTAACTTAAAGAATGCAATGTTAAGATATAATAAAACAAGCAGGAGACGTTATTGTGTAATAAACCAGAAGAGGAAGTTGAGGGAAGTCGTGGGAGGGGGGATTGGAAAACTGCATTTATTTTTCTTTTTTAGATAATGTTATTGTGATGAATATAAAAGTGTAAAACTTAATAAAAAATATTTTTTTAAAAAAAAATCTACCTCAACTTGAAAATAAAAATATAATAATAATAATAATAATAATAATAATAATAATAATAATAATTATTTTAACTGTGCAATGTGTTTTATTTTGTTTTGTGTATTTTGGCTTTTTGGAACAGCTTCAGCTATACAAATAAATAACATTCCTATTCATAACTCCACATATGTTTTGTGTGAGGTGCCATGGTCTCCTCGCATCCGTCTGGGACAGCCGGATATGTACAGCTATGTATGATAGTCACTCGGGGCTTTCACAAGCGTCCTGAAAGCAGGACGAGACTTGCAGGCGTTCAGGGGCAGGTGTTGTGATTCAGTTACAAGGCATTGGTCTGATTCATCCGCGTTAATACCGTGATCATAAATGATCAGCCATGGATGAAGGGAGGTATGAAAACTTGCTCCAGCATTTGTGGCAAGAGACATTCCCTTCGGTGTGGAACGCGGACTGGGTCACAAGGGATCGCTTAGTTTAGGATGAATTGATCTTAACATGCAGGATGCAAGTTGCGAAGCCACAAAACTCTCTTTGGCAGGCAGGATGTACAAAAGGAAGAGGAGGTTGTCCCTCCCTCTTGGCTGCAGTGTAATGTTTCGCCTGCCTAGACCTGCCTACAGTCCCTTTTCCTCCTTCTCTCATAACACAAGGACTCAGGGACATCCAATGAAGATGAAGGTTGGAAGTTTCAGGACAGATAAAAAGAAGGACTTCTTCACTTCTTTTTCTCTAAACGGCCTCGGCCCAGTAGACCTGAAGGAGTGTCTCCACCCCCATCATTCTGCCTGGACACTGAGGTCCAGCGCTGAGGGCCTTCTGGCAGTTCCCTTACTTCAAGAAGTGAAGTTACAGGGAGCCAGGCAGAGGGCCTTCTCGGTGGTGGCGCCTGCCCTGTGGAACGCCCTACCATCAGATGTCAAGGTGATAAAGAACTACACAACTTTAGAAGACATCTGAAGACAGCCCTATATCAGGAGGCTTTTAATGTTTGACATCTTATGGTGTTTTTATATTTTTTAGAAGCCTCCCAGAGCGGCTGGGGAAACCCAGTCAGATGGGTGGGGTACAATAAATAAATTGTTGTTGTTGTTACACAGAGCATCATCATCATCATCATCATCATCATCATCATTTATTATTTGTACCCCGCCCATCTGGCTGGGTTTCCCCAGCCACTCTGGGCGGCTTTCAACAAAGATTAAAAATACATTAAAATGTCACACATTAAAAACTTCCCTGAACAGGGCTGCCTTCAGATGTCTTCTAAATGTTAGGTACAGTGGTACCTCGGGTTAAGTACTTAATTCATTCCGGAGGTCTGTTCTTAACCTGAAACTGTTCTTAACCTGAAGCACCACTTTAGCTAATGGGGCCTCCCGCTGCCACCGGAGCACGGTTTCTGTTCTCATCCTGAAGCAAAGTTCTTAACCCGAGATAATATTTCTGGGTTAGCGGAGTCTGTAACCTGAAGAGTATGCAACTTGAAGTGTCTGTAATCCGAGGTACCACTGTAGTTGTTTATCTCTTTGACATCTGATGGGAGGGTGGGGGCCACTACTGAGAAGGCCCTCTGCCTGGTTCCCCGTAACTTGGCTTATCGCAGTGAGGGAACTGCCAGAAGGCCCTTGGCACTGGACCTCAGTGTCAGGGCAGAATGGTGGGGGTGGAGACGCTCCTTCAGGTATACTGGGCCTTGAGGCCGTTTAGGGCTTTCAAGGTCAGCACCAACGCTTTGAATTGTGCTTGGAAACGTCCTGGGAGCCAATGTAGATCTTTCAAGACCGGTGTTATGTTCCATAGTTAAACTGTGGAACTCCCTCCCCTGGGAGGCATTGATGTTCACCAACCAAAATGGCTTTAAAAGAGAACTAGAAGAATTCATGGAGGAGAGCTCTTTGGGTGGCTGATCGCCCCAATGGCTTGGCTCTGCCTCCACAATCAGAGGCAGAAATGCTTTTGAATCCCAGTTTGCTGGACACCACAAGAGGTAAGAGTTGCTCTTGTGCTTGAATCCTGCTCGCCGGTTTCCCACAGGCTTCTGTTTGGCCACAGTGGGAACAGGATGCTGGACTACAGGGGCCATTGGCCTGATCCAGCCAGCTGTTCTTATGTTCTTATGATCCCCTCCCGTGGTTCCCAGCACCTAGAACTCAGAAGCATTGCCCCCTCTTCACAGGAGCTCAGCAAACCCTGGCAAGCTTAGATGGGTTGTCCAGGGCAACACCTTTTTGCCACCTGGGTCCCGGAAGCCAACGAGAGACATCGCCACACCTTTAACCCAGCACGGTTGCATGAGGGCAGCATTTACCTGGTGTTGACAGGCGTGTAAATGTCGAAGAATTGGCGTGCGACCTCGTTTCCATACCAAGAGGTCCCCACCAGGGCGGCAAATCCTGTGGATGGAGAGGAGAGAGAAAAGGCAGGCAGTGAGTCAATCTTGCGGTCTTCCCCTCTGGTGGCTTCCCCATCCAGTTCCCCCTTTCCCTTGAGAAAACAACTGTCCGAGGGGAGAGAGAGATGCTACTGACCTGCAACCAGGAAGAAGATGCCTCCGATAATGGCCATCCTCATCTTCTGGACCTGGTCATCCTCCATGCATTTCATGCACTTCATTCCGATTAAGGAGATGGAGAAGGCAATGAGCCCCAAGAGGATGGAGGCCACCATCAAAGCCCGAGTTGCCTGGAGAATACCTGCAAAAGAAGACAGGGAACCACTTAATGCCAAGTCCTGCAGGACAGAGCTATGGGTGGCCACCAGCCATGATGGGCGATTGCTCTGCCTCCAACACTCGGAGGCAGCAACACTTCTGAACATCCGTTGCCAGAAGCCTCAGGAGGGCAGAGGGCTCCTTAAGTACCACCTCTCCTCATATGACTACCAACCTGGACCCTGACACCACCCTCTGAGGCCCTTCGTCATGTGCCTCCTCTGCAGGAGGTTCAGAAGGCGGCAACACTAAAACGGGGCCTTTTCTGCAGTGGCACCCATTTGTGGGATGCTCTCCCCAGGGAGGCTCGCCTGGCGCCTTCATTACATATCTTTAGGTGCCAGGCAAAACATTCCTCTTCTCACAGGCCTTTGGCTAATTAAAGAATCTGCAACCTTTGAAACCGGATGTGTGGTGGGTTATGGTTTTCATTTGTTGCCATGGTATGCACTGTTGTGTTTTCATATTGTAACCCGCCCTGTTATTCTTGGAGGAAAGGCAATATAGAGATTGAATAAATAATAAAGTAATAACTGTGCCCGGATCCTGCTTGTGGTCTGGGTGGCGACTGCGAAAGCAGGATGCTGTCCTAGATGCTCCATTAGTCTGGTCCAGAACAGGATCTTCTTATGAGTCAGACCACTGATCCATTCAGGCCACCTGGCAGCCATGCTGCAGAATAGCATAAGAATGGGGCAAATAGCCCTGCATCTAGACTCAGAGTTGTGGCTTCGAGACCCATATTGGGCAAAAGATTCCTGCACTGCAAGGGGGGTTGGACCCCCTGGGATGACCCCCTTGGTCCCTCCCAGTTCTAGGATTCTAGGAATCTATGCTTTTAAGGTCCCGTCTGCAGGCGCACCAAAACCCATCACCCTGCTTTGCAAGAATCTCAGCAACCGCCAGGAGACGAGCTGGAAACCAGCTAGACGTAGAATCATAGAACTGCGCAGTTGGCAGGGACCCAACGGGCCATTTAGCACAACCACCTGCAGTACAGGAATCGCAGCCAAAATCCCTGACCTGCCGTCTGTCCACCCCCGGACTAAATTTATCGCCGCCTATCGCGCCGCCACGCCATGGTGAGACTTTTCTGACTATAGTAAAATATCCCCTGGATTTTCCTCCTGATGCAATTTTAGGCTGGCACAGATAAGAAACCAGGTTCAGGCAGGCGGCTCCTGTGAGATTAGATAAGGCAGGAGGGATAATGCTGCAGGATGTGAACGATTGCCCAATGTTGGAACAGCGCAAGGGCAACAGGTGTTGCTCAAGACGCCGAGAGCATCTTTGAGCAAAGGGGAGATACCATTTCTCTCCGCGATGCCTTTATCATCCCATTTGCTCCACAGGTTGATTCAGCATTCTGAAGGCAGATTCCCGATACCAGGGTGCTTGTTTCGAATGCATCCAAGGTCCCAAGCATGTAATAGTTACACAGAGAGGGAGCTGCATCTTCACAGATACTTCTCCTCAGTCATGCTTGCAGAAGGGATAGCTATTAAAACCTTAAATAAGTGAGTGATGTGTTCATGGCGATGTATTAAGCCATTCTAACCCTTAGGCACTACACCAGTGATGACGATGGCTTGTCACCTTAACAGCGCAATCCTTTTAAAAAATAAATAAATAATATTTATTAAGTTTTCCATATTAACGATCCAATAAAAACCACATTAAATGCATTCCAAATTATAATACAGTCCAAAAGACCAAATTTTATATCTTTGGGTGACTTCCCATGCTCTGAAGTTCGAGGAGTGATGATCTCACATTGTACTGCATTCTTTGGTTGGTTCAAAAATAAAACATTTCCGATGTTAATCCTTCATTTATTTTTAAATAGCCTCTGAATTCGTTTAGCAAGTGGCTTAATCCTTTAACAGCGCAATCCTATCCACATGACGTGCAGGTAAGCCCCACTAAATTCAATGGGGTTCACACCTAGGTATGCGAATCTAGGAATGCATCCACTGGCTGTATTCTGATAGGAGCCACCCTCTTTGAAGCCACTGGAGCCAGGACAAATTTCCAAGTCAATGAGCTCATCACTGATGGAGGTGGATCAACCTCCTTCCCATTAGAATGAAGGAGAAACTGAGTCACCGTTTGCCGACGAAAGGCCTGCAAACGATACAGACTATATCAACAGCAGTGCACCAGAAGATACGCAGCAAGTCATTCTCTCTCTCTCTCTCTCTCTCTCTCTCTCTCTGTCTGTCTCAGATTCAGACCTCTGCTTACAAAGGGTCTACGCACTCCCTTGGCCCAAACTCTGCACAGGCAGGGGAAATAGGGACCTTCTGGGATCAAAACAGAAACCAGGACGGCTTTCGTAATTCCAGGACTATCTCTGGAAAATAGAGAGACACCTGGACGGTATGGATGGCCTCTGGGGGTCCCTTCCAACTTTACTATTCTAGAATGTTAAGACAAATAAATTCCTGACAGAATACAGCAGCAGTGAACTGGAGAAAGCCAAAAGTTCTCTTCCTCCTTCTTCCATTCTTCATTTAGAAAGGTCATGTGTGTCACTGAGAGCACCAGAGGGGCTTGTTAGCCCCTCCTGCAGTTTAAGAAAAGTACTGGCGTAGCTGCTTGAGGGACTGGTCCTCTTGACCTGGTCAGCCCCATCACTCAGGCAAACCAAGAGGTTATTTTGGGAGAGGGATAGCAGCCACTTTTGGGTGTGTGCCCCCGTGAACTCTTGAATGACAGCTGTGATCCTGCCAAGGTACTCGGTCCCTCTCAACTCAGTGGGGCCGATTTCTGAGCAAACGTTATGGGGGGTGGTGGTGTAAGGGGAGCGATGTCCCACACAATTATTTTTAAAAAGCAGGGAATGCCAAACTTATATCTGGATTCCTTGAAGCCAGACACCACCCTTTCCGAGAACAAAATTCTGCCTCTGGCCTCTTCTTCAGCTTTGCCTATAAAGGGGTTTGGACTTGTTTGGTTCACAAGATCCGGTTCATCTTGTAAAAAGTTTTTTATTTGCTCTGAGTTTGTGTTTTTTTTGTTTTTGTTTAGGGTGTTGGCTCTAAGCTGCTCACTTCCAAAGATGAAAAGGCGCAATGATCTGGAGGATTTCAGCAGCTCAGACTGAACCCAGCGGGAGTCTGTTTCCTGCATGCGCTCTGTACGCTGCTCTGAGACCTCCTTACAGGAAGGATGGGGTGCAAATGAAATCACATACCCTCCATCTTCCTCACCCTTTGGCCAGCAGGGGGGCTTGTGACCCCATCAATGTCGTTCCTGATATCATTATCATCATTTATATACCGCCCTATACCTGGGGGTCTCAGGGTGGTTCAAAGAATACATAATAAAACATATATAATAAAAAATAAAAGCAATCCAATAGCCCCCCCTCTACAATTTTTTTTTTAAAGTGCATAGGATATTAAGCTGGGGGAGTGTGCTTGACCTCACTCTGACCCCGGAAAGAAGCGTAGAGTTGGAAGGGACTCCCCCCCCCCCAAGTTCACCTGTTCCAAACCCTTTCAATGCAAGAGTCACAGCTGAAGAAGAGGAGAGTTCTTCCTGGACGGAAGGGGTTAGGTGGATGTCCACGTGAGGCCAAAAGAGAATGGGGGAGGGAGGGTAAAACTCAGTTTATAAATTGACTCCTCTCCTGCCTCTTGCTTTCTGCTTTATAGCACCTTCCCACCCTTCCTTAGACTACTGAAGTAGGAATTTTTGCAGGGAAAATTCCTTCTTGACCTGAAGGTCCCTTGTTTTTTTTGCCCATCCCACATGGTAGCGAAAAAGTCGACTGGTGTTTAGGCAATTGTGTGGCATGGCGGCTTACTGCTGGCCATAAATATGGGCAGGGAAGGAAGCGGGAAGGAAAACAGCAGGTAAACTGAGGCACGATTGGGTCGAGGGCACCCTTCAGCAACCGGGCCGTGCTTATGCCTGCTGGACTTTGCAGTTGTCCTTGCCAGGCTCATCTTTGAGGTTCGGCCAGCTCCCCAGTTGAGGTTCTTCCCCGTCCTCAACTGGGGAGCCACACCTGGTGGCTGCATTAGCTGTGATTCCTACATAAGAACGTAATAAAAGCCCAACTGGATCAGGCCATGGAGCCTTCCTCTTCTCACGGTGGCCAGAGAGTTGCCTGTGGGAAACCAGCGAGCAGGATCTCTCCTCCATGGATGTGTCCAATCCTCTTTCAAAGCCATCCAACTTGGGGGCCATCACTGCCTCCAGTGGGAGGGAGTTCCACGGTTTCACTATGCGGGTTAGACTAGATGACCCACGGGGTCCCTTCCAACTCTACAATTCTCTGATCCTGCGCCAAGATAGCCCGAGGGATGTTTCCCTGCTGGAGTTAGCAAAGGCCTTCCTGCCTGCAATTCTCTTAATTTGGTTAATTAGATTCTGTTAATTTGGTTAATTGCTTGCATGCAGTTCCTCCAACTTGTTATGGCTTAATGGATGTAACCTCTCCTCCACTTACGTCTGCGAATCTTTTTGTGGCAATTTTAATCCAAGTGATTTGCAATCCAACAGGAGAAGGGAGGGAGGAAGGGAACAGATTTTAAATTTATCATCACCCATCGCCTCCTTATGGCAATATTGTGCCTTTCCCCTACTGGTGCCACAAGAAACATCACTGATATCAATCTAATGGCAATTTTTGAATCCCAGATGTTCCACAGACCTGAGGAACGAGAGTGAGAATGTGCAAATCTCGTTGTTGTGTTTTTAGAGCTGTGATGGGAGCGGCCTTGAAAATCGCAGAGTTGGAACTTTTCCTTTGGGGATCATCTAGTCTAACCGCCCCCCCCCCCTGCAATGCAGGAATCTCAACTAAAACAGTTTTCCTATCTTTGAAGCTAAGCTTTAGACTCCTTAGGAAAACAAAGAAGCAAAACACACAACCAAAATGCCTAAGAAAACCAGAACAACCACTTTTCGAGAAGGTAAGCATTATAAAAACAAGAACCCCGGAAATGAGTTATGGGGCAAAACCTGTTAATT